GGAGAAAGATGAGGCGTTCTGCTCCCGTAAAGATTTACAGCCTCGGAAACCCTGTGCAGGGTCACTATGAGTCGGAACCGACTCCACGGCACATAACAACATACATATATACATATTCATACATGTATTTAGTAGATTTAGTAGAATTAAAATTGCTGGACAAAAAGATATGTGTGTCTTCAATTTCATAGATATTGCCCACTCTTTTTTGTCCTCCAAGGGAGAGTTAACAGTTTTGCTAACAAAAATTTCTACAAATATTCTATTAGCATTTTAAAAATATGTTTGCTAATCAAATAGGGAAAAATGCAAATCGATTATAGTCTGAAATTTCATTTCTTTTATTATCAGTAGAGGTGAGCATTATTTCGTGTTTAAAATCTACATTTTTTATAAACAGTTTGGAAAATATTTCTGTTGAATTTTTAATTTATCTGGGTTCTTAATATATTAAGATGCCAGATTAAGGTTTTATCTGTCATATAGTTTTCCAGTATATATATATATTTTTCAGTTAATCATTCCTCATGGACGTATCCTTTGCCACCTTGACATTTTTTAATGTTCATGTAGTTAAAGTAACAATCTTTTCTTATCCTATAATTACATATGATCTTTTTAACTTTTGTATATATGAATGGGTTATATTTACATATTAATGACACAGCCTAACATTTCTCCTCTTGGCTAGCAACCTCTGAGAGCATTTTTTCTTTGAGCCATTTTAAAACCATTTTATTGAAAGAACTCTAATCAATTAACTTGTAGATAACTGTCATCTTTATGCTCTTAACTCTTCTAAGAATGATATACCTTTTCATTTGTTCCGATGTATGTTTGCCTGAGAATTTTAAAGTTTTCTGCTTATAGATTTTAAAATTAAACTTACTCATTTTATTTATTTTTGTTACCATTGTAAATATAGTCTTCTGTTATACTTTCAGAATATTTTTCTGTATATATAAAGACTATCAAAGCTGTGTATTAACTTGTACATAAAGAGTTAACTGAAGTTTTTATGTTTTTATAGTAATTTTTATTTTTATTAAATTTTAAACTTTAATTTTTCAGGTGACTTGATTTTACAGGTAAACAATGTAAATTGATTTACCTTTACTTGACAAATGTTTATACCTCTGGTATTTTTCTCTCATTTAATTGAGGGCTGGCAGGTGGAGAGAAAGGAAAAGTCACTGATAACACCAGCCTTTTGTGTCTCATCTAGTGTACTGGACAGAAAGTAACCTTGGGAAAGATTTTGATCCCGACATTTTTATTCAGTTTCACAATTCTGTGTACAATGCAAAGTGTCAATCAATCGCCACTTCAAATCTTGTCAAAATACTGTCTTTGATCCCATCCCGTGTTCCCCACCCTCCACCCCAGCAGAATACTTCACAAGGGAACAAGTAGACAAGGTCTCTGTTCAACATCTCAGCAAAAGCTAACAAATGAGTGGTTTTT